GTCTTGGAATTAGACACATCAGGTTGATCAACTTGCTACATTGTCTTGCTTCTCTTGGACTTGCCAAGGAGCCATAAATAGTAAGCAAGAAAATGATCATGTTGATGATTCAGCATCTTTGGGATGTTCTAGCTTAATCCTATTCTGCTTAACTTCTGGGCGTAGACTACCCCAAGATAGAATAGCATTTTTCTAGATCTCAACGTTTACTATTTTAACTGTGTATTTAGAAAGGAAGAGAAAACTGGTGTCACACAACATGGTAGCCTAGATTTGTTTAGTATTTCCTCACTTGAAATGATACCGAAGTGCTAAATAATAATTTTATTTTTAAGATAGCTGGGATAGATCCAATGTTTGACTTGCACCCGTGTTTTACTCCAAGGTGTATGAAAGCTACCTCTGTTAGTCAACAAGTTCTGTCTAGAACTAAAACTTTGTCGTGCCTGTATCAACATGTTAGTCCAAGAAAAATGTTGTAAAGAGCTGAAAGTTCCTTCAACATGCTAAAAGTGCTTGTATTAAAGCTCACTAGGTTTTACGTAGGAATTGTGTGGTGTTAAGACCTGCATTAGAAAATACTTGCACAGTTAACGTCTAGGAGATCTGAACAGGGTACCAGGTGACTGTGGTCTGCGCTCACATTTGGCCAGCAGCAAATGTCTTCTGGCAGCAGTTTCTTCAGGACTTGAAAGAACCTGTGTTCTTGTTTCAAAACACTCTACCTCTACAGAAGAGAAAGCCAGGAACGGATGCCAGCAGAAGCTGCATCCTGTTGTGAGTTCCAGCTATATCTGAAATTAGGCACCTGCTTATCTGACCACAGCGCAGGCTGTACCAGGATTTCACTTCATTAGGACCTGGTACGTGAGCTGTGAGACAGCGAGGCTCCTGCTGTCGGTTTGGGAGGGTGCTCCAGCTCTAACAGGGAGATAGCTGTCGGTGCAGCTGGACTGCAGCACAGAAGTGCATCTGTTTCTGTTAAGAAAAGAAACTTGTGATCACATCAGGTACCAAAGCAGACCTCTGCCAGTAGGCATGTGTGTGAAGTCCTCTGAGCTGGTGGGATAGTTGTGTGGCTTTCAGTCTCCACCCCACATCGCTGGGTTTGGGAAGTTCCTGGCTATCAATGTGGGAAAATTAGGTTGCAGGCAATTAGCTAAATTTGATCTTTATTCTGAAGCACAGCTGTAAGCTAAATAATTATCAAGCCTGTTGAAAAAAAACAAATACTGCAGGATGTAACACTATGGAAAGATCTTCATTTAAATCCACTCTAATATATATGCTAGGTAATGCTCATGTTGGGGAAAGGAGAGTGAGATTGGGAATTTGGAGAAGGCTGTTTGTTTTCTGGTGTGTCCCCCCCCCACGTAAAATGAGATTGTCAAGTGTTCTGAGGACTGCCAGTAAGAAATACTGAAGAAATTAGTGTATTTAATGGTATAATGTAAGCAAAAGAGCTCAACCTGCAGGTAATTGCTGCTTTGTAGCAGGGATATTCCGAGGGAGTATGCGACGTGGATGTGCATTGCACTGAATATTCTGAGCCCACAGATTTGACCATGGATGAAACAGACCAACCTGCCTGCTTTTAATCTTAGCTATATTTGGTTTCTTCTGTCTTTCCATGAGAGGTCACACACCATGGAAGATACAAACCACGCTGTGGTTTTCCAGTTAAAAATCAGCTTGAGAAAGGTAGGTCTCTTGATCTAACCCTGCGCTGCATCCTGTGCCCTGCATCTGCTGAGCTCTTTTGTGCGCCTAGCTTGCTGCACGCTGTTGGTGTTGGTAATGTATATAGTTATGGAGTATGCAATATCATTGTGCAAAGCCTGAAACAAAGGAAGGGAAACTCAGAATCCCTAGAAAGGGGAATGACCTTTAGGAAGATAGAACATAGCTTGAAATACGTTCTGCGGATTAAGTTGCATTTTGAGTTGATGTCCAATGATCGTCTCTTCAACGATGTTCTGCAGCGTGCCCCTCGCCCCTTGGTTTCCTACTGGTGGTAGGCTGGAGAGGACTGACTGCTGTGTGTGTAGGAGGAGCGTTGTGACTCCTCAGCCTTTTGATGAGCTGCTGCAATCCTCTCTGGTACCGTGCCCTTGCGCATTTGGCAGCTCTATCACCACAGGAACTAGTCAAGTCTCAGATGAGAACCTGAGTTCCGTACATGGAGCTGATGTGAAGGGGGACTGAGTAACTTCTCCGGATGTGGTGGGTGCTGCCCGCAGGCCATGCATTGGGCACTGCTGGCTGGTGCACACAGCTGGGGGCTTGTTGTCTCACGTTGGAAAATTAACTTGCAAACTGCTGTTGACATGGATCTGGTTATGGCAGCGTCTGTGGGCTCCTTGGCAGCGGGATGCAGCTCGGAGGATGTGTTTAGAGCAGCAGGTGCTAGCTCAGGGCGGGTTCTGCTCTTCTCTTTCCATTAGTCCTTTCTCCGATCCTCTTTTTCTTGCCACTTTTCACCATTTTGCTGAAGGTTTTGGATGGTTTTCCTCGCTTCTCTTGGGCCGAGCGCAGTGACAGGGCCAGCACACGTAGCCTCGTGTGCCCTGTGTCAAGTGGCTTGTACTAAGAGGCATGGCGTGAAAGACTCGGTTCGGAGATCAGGTACTCCCAGGGGAGTATTACAGATGCATTTGTTCAGGTTTTTGCATCTCGGGCTGTCTAGTAACTTGAGACTAGACAGCTGTAGTTTGACTTACAAATGATTTGAAAACCTGCATAAAAGCTCTTGAGTTAGAGGCACCCCCTGCTCCGTAAAGCCAACGCTCTCTAGTACGTCCTTTAACAGAACCGTGTCGGAAGGGCCACTGGGGAGATCCTTCAGCTGCCACTGGAGCCACGTATGTGAAGTTACTTGTGTGAGGTTGGATGGGATCGTGGCCTCAGCTGTCGCACTGAACGAGAGCCACCCTGCACGTTGTACAGAGGGAGAAAGCCGCGTAATCGAAGATGTAATCTAACACTGCTATTTCACAAAATGAGATATTCCAGTAACTAGGATCCATTGTGCAAGTCTCAAAGAAAATCCCCGTATTTCTACTGTATAGCTGAGACAGTGACTCCTGTGCTGTATTTATGAAGTTACACAGATAAGAAAAACTAAGCTGGCTTACACAGGAAATGGAGTGCTAGTTCTGACACTGAAGTAGGTTACCGAGAGGCAAAAATACTTCTGGAGAATGTTTAGAAATTGCTTTTCTACTTTAAAATTGCAAGTAGAATTTCAGCAAGGCCTTGTATATTGTCTTTTTTTTTAAAAAGTCCATTGATAAAGTCAACTTTGATAACTTGTTTTGTGTCATTGTAGTCTTTTTTATTGGCTTTAATTAAAATGTATTAAAATACTACTGGCTGTCTGAATTGCCACTTGACAAGAGACTGACTGAAGGAGTTAATGGGGGGAGGACAGGGCAGAGGAAGCCCAAATACCTGGCTCCTTACTGACCCTGCTTTCGTTCTTTTCCTGCACTCCAGCTTTCCATTTCATACTGGCTGACAGAACCAACTCTCCATTCGCCCCCCTTTAAACCAAACCAACATGCAAAACAAAGGCAAGCTTCTATAAACTTTTTGAGTATCAAAGGATTTATTAAAGTAAAATAAATTAAGATCTTGTTTAGCTCATGGTATGTGACTTTTGTAATTAAGGTATACATAGCAATTGATTCTTTACAGGCAAAAATCAAACATGCGGGCCTAACTCCTGTAGCTCGCATGAAGTCTGTTAGAATTGTCCTACGCTGTACTTCTTGTACTTCCTGTATCTAGAGCTGTAATCTTTATAATAAATTGTTCCAAGAAAACTTCAATACCTGTGCTTCCAAAATAAGATTTCTGAGAAAGCAATGAATGAAGCAAACAAGAATATTCATGGTAGTGTACTTAATTACCAGACTTTTGAATTATTTTCCCTTGTGATTATCTTAATGCTCCATTTAAATCCACAAAATATATTGCTATACATTGTTAAAAGTTCAACATCAAAGCAGAGTAAAACTTAGCATTTTTCCCTCCTATTCAGTAGACTTGAGTCATGCTTCAACTTTGGACGAACCTGCAGTCTGAGTCGGGTTTTACATAGCTAAGTAGATGCTTTAAAGTGACTGGGATGGTGCTTTCCTGGGGGGATGAAACTGCTTAGCTTAGATGAAGCCCTAGCAAAAAGTCAAGAAGCCCAATACGTTAAGGCAGTTTTCCCTCAAAGTCCAAAAGCCACCTTTGCTCTTGGCACTCAGCTCCTTCTCTGAAGTTCCCCTGCTCCGTGCTGCGGTGGTTCGCGTTCTCCCACGCATCTGCTGTAACCCAGCCAGCATCTCGACAGCAGTTCCTTGTTCTGACATGAGCAAAAAGCCGGGTGTTAATTCCTGATCTCCAGCTAATCAAAGCTGGATTTAAGACCAAAGGTTTTATGTATTTCAAAGACTGAAAAAGTCCAAAACAGTATCTGGAACACATCAGCTGCTGTGTGCTGTGAAAGCACTCGTCAGGATGGAATGGTAGGACACACCTCTCAATGTACCCGAAAGAGGAATGAGTCACAGTACAGCCCAAAAGCACCTCAAGCGTGTCTGAAGTACCCTAAAGCTGTCATCTTACGGAAATTGGCAAGGGAGGACAGGTTGGCTACTGACTGGAGTAGAACTTGTGGAACTTTTCCAAGTCATTGTTTTGTATGAAAGTCTATTACTACAAATACCAAACTTGGAAGAAAGAGTTTTTTTTCTCCTGCCTTGTAATACAGCTGAGTTGTGACTCACTCCTGCCTTCTGTTACTCAAGGGGAGCAAATCTGACTTAAGAGGGCAGGTGATTTAAGGCTTAGTAATGTGTTAGGACAGGAAAATTGAAATGGAGTTGAAACCTATTAGCTAATAAATTCCTTTATGCCTTCAGGTCACTTTTATTTAAGAACAGTTGTTGCTTCAGCTCTCAAGATGGCAAACTTCATGACTAGTTGCAGATTTCCACTAGCCACGTTTTCCCATAGAATAAGACAGCCTAATTGAAATGCCCCTAATTTTGTGCTTTTATTGCTTTATCTAAATCATCCACCACTTGCTGCAGCTTCTGTAGGCTGGGGTGGACGTTTTCCTCCATCCACTCCTCTACAGTACACTCGTGGAAAACTTGCTCCATGGCTGCCTGGAGGTCCTGCACCACAGCATTCCACTTGGCGAGAAGACTATGCAGAAATCAGAAGGAAGAAACAATCACATTTGCAGCTGAGCTCTGCCTCAGGGGAAGGTGAGCTCACTGGGCCTTAAAACGACTTTACAGGAAAAGAAGAGTTTATTACAAGAGCTCAAAGGACTTGATTTTGCGCAGATGGCAAAGGCTGATGCTGTTTGTGTTTAAGTACCATTAATCTTGGCACTTTTCTTATGCAATGACTTTTAAAGTATCAAAATGTCAGCTCAAAAAAACCACTACATGCATTTTAAGTGTAACTGAAACCCACTGCGAGACCTGTTGGGAATTTAATTCTGGTTTTTGTCAGGAAGTGTAGATGCAGTTGGATATTCACCTCATCCCAGCAGAAAAAGTAGAAATTAGCCATTTAGCATGAACCAGCATCCTCTTCAGGACAAGCTCTGAAAAGAACACCCAGGGAGCGGGCGAAAGGGGTCTGGTTTTATTCCAGGGCCTGCCTGGAACCTGGCCCCGGGGAGCTCCGACCCGAGGCTAACAGCAGCAGTAAGATGCAGCAGGTCTACAGCGGAGTAACTCCATATAGAAGGAAGAGTTTTCTGGAGACCAATTTTCTGCTTGTATTCAAAGAACTTGAACAGAAGGCAGACAAAGATAAACATGCTTTTCTGTTTAAAACCGTACTATGAATAATTCATATTGTTTGATTTCCACTGACGCTTCTGAAATAATTTTAGAAAGAGGCAAGGACTCAAAACTGTATGTACTCGAGTGCCCCAAACACGACAGACTCTATTTCCCTGCAATGCAAACTAAGTGGTGTTACCTGAGTGCATCTGGCTGGAAGTGATGCACGATTATAGGATGAAGAATCTTCCTTTTTCTGTGGTAGGGGCTGAACCAGCCTGTGACATATCTGAAAATGAATGTTAGCACGAGCAGTTTTTGAAACAGCAGTGACATGTGTGGTTGTAGGCTGACAGGGAGGCGATAGGGCTTCAGCTGAGCTTCTCCTGCACAAATAGACAACGCTTAAGGAGTAAGTAAATTTAAGTCTACCTATCTTTGGAACTAACTTGTAGAAGACTGTTCTTGGCAAATGAGAATAACTGATCATCTGTTGCGATTTAAATTTCATTTCAAGCTCCTTTTCTTTTAGTAACCATCCCATTAAACAAATCCATTTTAACTTTAAATAGCAGAAAGATTTAATTCAGGCAAGAACTTGATTCTTGAAATAAGGCAGTTCATAGTGTTTATTACGAATTCTGCTGAAATACTTTAAATTTGCAGCTAAGTATTAGATTCTGCTGAGGTGTCAACATACAGGGATGCGATGCCTGGAATGCGGAGCTTGACGTTTAAATCGCTCTGCTGGAGCGGTGCCCCATTTTGAGCTGACACAGCTCCCGCACTCCTGCAGACAGCCCGAGGATCAACGCAAACCTCGTTACCTGTTCCTTTCAAGAAGTTCATCCACTGATGACTTGAGGTAGAAACTAACTTGCGTCACAAGTGTAAGGATATTGCTCCCGGGAAAGGTCCCCAGACTCGTGCTGTCCAAAGAGGGTCCGTTAGCTTCTGAACTTACCACGCAGTGAGAAACATCGGGATCCCACAGCTGGAATTTTACCTCATGAAAGTATCGGTTTCCAGGTTGGACATTCCCAGGAGCTTTTCCACATTTTCTTTAATCTTTTCAGAATAGCCACCTGGCAGAAGACAGTGGAAGTAAGTCAAAGTTCATAAAAGAGGGTTTTCCTGGAGTACTCTGCATTGGCTTACTAGTTCTGGGATGAAGATTTTTTTAAAAGGTGAAATGGAAATAGAAGGAGGAAAAAAAACTCGGGGGTGGCAGGAGTACATTGTCCTTCACACGATTGTCTTGTGCTAGGTAAAGCACTTCGTAGCTATGGGCTTTCCATTCAGCGTGCTGAGTACTTTTAGCGCCTTAGTTAAAAACAAGTAGGTTGTGGGGTTTTTATTTTGAAAATACGAAAAGCAGAAAGACAAAAAGAAAAATTCTGTTGCCAAATGCCTGTAAAGAAACCAGAAACTACAGGAAGAACAGTGTACTTCCCAGTTGATCAGTTAAAACAACATTTACATGTAAACAAGATCTAAATCTAAACGAAATTAGTCTCATTTATATACCTGTAGTGTTTCAAATCAGTTTCAAAAGCAATTCAGCTTCTTAATTTTTTTTTAGTATAAGCATGAAGAAGCTTGGGACCATTTGCAGGTTAAAAGGTAATAATTTATTAGTATACTATGGCGATTTTTAAATACATAGGCCAAGAAGCCTCTCTGTTCCTATCACAAACATGCGCTATGTATAATTTATTGCTCGTAATTCAGACCACGATCAGATAGCCAAACCACCTCAGAATATAATAAGCCTGTGCCAACCTTAGGGCAAGGTCACGTCACTCTTGTGCTAGGCATTAGCTGAGAGAGAATAAAGCTGTCATTGTACCATTCTTTAGTGCCTGCAGACATACAGCCAACGATGGAATTGCCACAGGGAGAAGCTCACACAAAACAGAGAAGTGATCATACCTAAATAAGAAAATAGGCATCAGACATTTTAGTGTCAGAACATACCAGAACAGTGGGGAGTGTTAATGTTTCAATCACTACAAATCAAAGAGCTTCAGAAACTCCAGTTTCTGTCTCAGAGAAGGGACCTTCTATCTCTGAAACGCTAAGTATTCCTGTTTTACTGAAGAGAACAGATAACCAATCAAATGACTTGCTCCAGCCAAGTAGGGTCAGAAATTGGAATTCAGCTCTCTGGTATTCCCTTAGACCTCCTGACTGTTGCACAAAAACCTTTTACTCCCTCATTATTACACTAACAAACTCTTCTATCTTGTGCAACTTCATTCTCTTTGAATTCACATCAGACATTCACATACACACCACGCATTCTGTTAACTACGTGGTCTATAAGCAGTCTGAGGTGGCACAATGTAACCTTCAAAACCTTCAAATCCAATCTGCTGCTGCTGGTGTCTGCCAGAAGAATTGCTGCTGCTGATTAACGCTGTAGCCGTTGACTGGAGCTCCGAAACCCACCCTTCACAGTCAGCTGGGCGAGGTCCAGCAGTAACCAGCAGGAAGGACTGCGGGGTTGCAAAGTTTCCTTCTAACTCCCCAGCTCCTCATACCTCTTAGGGAGCTTTTGGGTGGAAGCTGCCTTCCATGTGACCCTTGGAACCATTTAAAAAGATGTTCCTTACCTCTGCCAGCCGGTCAGCGCGATACCTTCAAGGACATCAGCGGGGCTGCTGCTTGCCACTTGCAGCCATCGAAGATGGTTTTTTAAATGGTGTCCAATAAGCGTTAGAGACTGATTCACTCCTGTAGCTCCTTTAAAAGCACTAGCAAACCACACCTTGGAGAAGCCACATCTACGATACTTCTCTATGAGATGAACTGAAATAAGACAGAGAAGAACATTTATAGGACAAGTTTTTCTCCAATTTTAGCCTTGACTGTAGTGCTCCGATTAACAGGAACCCAGGTCCAATTACAACAGGCTGTTGAGCCTTGTCTTGTCAAGCCTCGAGCATCAGCAAGGACGGGAGATCTGACACGCTCTCCAAGCAACCTGTTGCAGCATTTGACTGCCCTCCTGTTCTCATGTGCCCAGTTACTCTGTTCCATTCCCTTGCATTGCTAACGTGCTTCAGTGCTGAGAACTGAGGATATGAAATGAAACGAGCATGCGCAACATCTGACAACTGATTCTTCTTTCAACAAAGAAATTGTCTGTACGCATGTTCGATGCCTGATCGATCCCCCTATGGGAGCCTTTAGGAGTTTTTCCTTTGAATTATACAGATCTATGAAGCCTTGAAGGTTCTTTTGCAGAGCTGTTCAATACAGAGCTATCTGCTCCCACTGGTGTTAAAGCAAGGAGAGTAAATGCAACAGTGCTTGCGAAAAACGTTTCAATCTCCTGTCAGTGATTCCATAGCCCTACTGAAAAGAATTAAGCAGCAGACAATGCAAGTCCTTAATAGGAGAAGCATAAATAGGAAAAGAAAATACGCAATAGCAACTATTACGTGAGATCAAACAAGGGCTATGTTTATGCTATTAAAGCAATAAAAAGCAATTTAACAAAAATGGAATTTTTTCGGTGTCTAACTAAGGTTATGTCTTAGTCACACTATTTTGGTTTGGCTGTTTTGCTTAAAGGTAATAGAGCTCTTTGCTTCTGCGCAGCTCATCAGAGAAGTACAAACCTTTGCCCTCCACGTCGAGGTCTGCTGCATAGTCCCAGATCATTGGCTGCACCAGCTGCGGGACCCCAGACTCTGGAAAGAATAGAGCTCTTCTAAGTAATGGAGAACAGCCAGTTAGTGAGAACTAAGTACGTTTTATTGGTGCAGTAACACGTGACTAGAACTAACTACGGCTTGTCCCTAGAAGTCTTCACTTCCAGCTGAAGCGCCCAGGGGCATTTTCAGCCTGGCCATGGCTTTGGACAGGCGGGTTCACACGCCAGGGGCCACGAAGTCCTCAGACATCTTGAAACCACTCATGTGGATCAGCAGTGACAACTCTGATACCAGAGATTCTGCTCATCCCAAGCCCATCTCATTCTTAGTCCCTTGAATCCATCAGTATACCTGCTGGGTTGAACTGGTGAAGCTGCAAACTGTACACAACAAGATTTCAGCTAAATTCAATGGAAATATTCACCCTGTAAGTTAGAGGTTGTCTGAGCTGTGTTTGTGTAGAACTCCACTTTTCAAGATGCCTTTAAAGTACAAATAAAGATATAGGTTTGGTTTCAAATCCCTTTATAATCAACTCCCTGACTAGTTTTAGACCTGAGAAACCAACCCCTAGAGAAACTGCAGTAAATTATACAGAAGTTCAGTATTTTAACTGCATCCCATTCTAATTTGTTCAGTCTGTGATTCCCTGTGGCAGTACACTGCACTTAGCTAGATGCTGTGCTGCTTGTGTGGAAACTGCATGGGTCCTATCGGGGGTTTTTTTTTGATGATTTCCCATTATTAAAGCCACAACTAGGTCAGTCACTGCTGAGGAGCTCTTCATGGTATTGTCTAAATCTGTTCAGAGCAGACAGGTAAGGTGGCTCTGAAAATGCCAGAACTCCGTCTATGCCAGGACTACTCACATTGTAGCAGTGGCTTCACACTTTTCAACAAACAAGACTCGTGACATCAAGGTCTCGGTGCTATTCCACAAGTCAGTCTCAGAGTTCCTCTTGATGTGCACTGTGATCACCTACACCATCAAAGATGCTCACAGAGTCGCAGCTTCTCCATGTGCATCTGCACCACTGGAACCAGATGCTGCACAGAGCAACAACTGACATTAAAAGGTGGTGAAGGGCATAGAAATTTAGGCCGAGACCACAAATGCTAATAGGCTTTTTTTGTAATGCATAAAGAAAGTAGAATTCATGGCAACCACTGCATGATGACTGTTTTGCTTGTCATTGTGTATTACCAGCTGGAAAACTGAAGTGTGTGGGTGTTGAGAGCTGCCCACAGTCACACAGAAAGTCTGTGGCACACCCAAGGACTCAGTGTGTCTACTCTCATGGTCCGTATCTCCACTATTCTTAGATTTCTTGTTTTCATTATTTTCATCTGCCAGCAAATCTGTTTTAACTGGTTACGTAAACTTTTTTGTATGGTAAAAAACAAGACTCACCCCATCACTGGTCACACACCTGCCAACGTCTCCTCACTTATCCCTCGGAGCATGTCATCCCACACGATGGGCGTCACCGTCGGGTAGGACGAGACCACACAACTTGCAACCGCTTTTATGTGGGATAAGCACAGCTTCTCCAGAGTGTTGTCTTGTTGCTGCAGCCACTGCTTTGACTCCTCTCCTTCGCCGAGGTAGTAGACCTGGAACATTAAACCAATAACCCTGAACATCTTTTATAGGAACAGGGGGAGCGAGTTTGACGCAGTGTCATGAAATCATACAATATTCAACACCTATTGCACAGACCTGACACACTGAGTGGACATATTTAAAAGCAGCTCTCAGTGCTGAATACACTGTAAGCATTTCTATCAGTCTGTGGGAGGCTGTCACCATGACCAAATGTATCACGTAAGGGAATTTTCCTACAGAAACTGAAAAATCTGAAGAGTAATTTAAGCACGCTGTATTTGTCTTTGGGAGGTTTGTCCATGGAAGCAGCTCTCACCGGTTTTACCCAGTTCAAGCCCAGCAACCCATCAGGTCCTGAATTATCTAAAATGAGTCTCCTGTCTTGGGGAAGGAGATCATTTGTATATGAATCTAGAAGTGACCTGGGAGCATGTCCAAGGGTGGCCCCAGCATGCTCGGTTCTATGCAGAGAGTGGATTTGTGCCTGTTCAGCTGGACATGCATTTAAACTCTTTGCTGTTTTAGAGCAAGTTTTATCAAAAACTTGTTTATTCTACATAAATAGTATTTTGCTTTATAAAAGCTTGCAGGTCCCTATCTAACTTTGCCCTTTGTTCCCATACAACAGGATACAAAAGGTGAAACTGATATCAATACAATTAAGGTGGTCACAACGAATTTCAGGGATCTGCGTGCCATAGGGATGGTTTTAAGAAACTCTGAGAAAGAAGAAAACTCCAGGTTCTCCACCTCAAGGAGACAAACTACCAAGGGAAAAAAACCCCAGCACTTCCCACCACAAAAGGGCTTACTTTGAACAAGGTGGCCAGAACAATGAGCCAACATCTCACATCCAAACTCACGTGATTCTTAATGAATACCTCCAATTGATATCTCACTTTAAACTCATTTGACTTAAACCCAAATGCTGAGTTAGCTTTAAGAAACTGCTTTCAGTACTTTTGATATTACACTCCAACCAATAGAAATGCCACCCCATGCTACTGGAATAATTTATTGTCAAAATGACTGTTCTGCACTGGCTTGAATCGTTGGATTTGGTCTGCAAAATCCTACCCAGATGTGGCCTGGGTACCACTGAAATGCAGAAACCTCAGCCCTTACCTTCACTCCTCACAAAAAAAATATTCCTGGGTCAAGAGAAGTCCCACCTCGTCACATCCGATGTGAAACCATGTTACGTCTTCATGCAGTGCCATGACCTGGTCAATCATGGCTTTGACCAGTGCCCGCGACTCCTCCTTGTGTGGGTTGAGGGCGTTGGGAAACACCTTCACCTCCCGGAGATGAGCAAACTCCTTGTGCTTCAGCACGAACTGCAAGAGAAGGGAGAGCTGGGGGAACAGCCGCCAACCGAGGGGGACAGCAGTGTCCTCCTGTGTCACCAGGGCTCTGCGGACAGTCATCCCGCAATTTTGGCTGTGTGGGGACAGGGGACAGTATGAGGCCTCCTGCCAGGGGTGGCGCGGGGAGGAGGGGCACGGCC